AGGGCGGCGGACAAAAATAGGAGGGGCTTCACGCGGAGCCAGACCTCAAGCCAGCCTCTCGACCTGGTTCTAGGTCATCTTGAACATGAATCCGACGGCAGCCAGCACTGAGATCACAAAGAACACCAGAAACACTGTGATTAAGACCGGGTTCGTGATCCAAGTTCCCGATGAGGTTCCGATGTCAGCCTTCAAGCCCTGCTCCAAATCTCTGCTGTTGTGCGGCATCTTGACTTTTTCCGGTATCACAGCCTCGACGTTTAGTTTCTGGGATAAGGAGGAGTCGAGAGGTCAAATTCGCGCTCTGACGACTTCGAAGTCCTTTCGTGCCGTATCTGTGCCAGTGGGGCTATTTCATGCAAGAATCACCCCGCTCTCATGGTCGATTGGAGATCGAAAGTCTCTCACCCAATCTTGCGAAATGCCTCGCTATCTTCAGACTCATGCCCCCTGATCCCCCCGAATCATTCACTGAGCGGTGTAGAACGATGCATGCTCCCATTCATTCAATTTCGCATCCATCGCGGTCCGGCATTCCGGAAGTTCGAGAGAATAGTACGAGAGCCGAGGATTCACAGGTTTCCCTTGTCGTTATATAAATATTTTTTCGCGCAGGGTATTCTCAATAGCTCGAAGCTCGGCTGACCAGCTGTACGAGTTCAGTGCATCATTCCCACATCCTGGCCGCATATTCGAACGTTTGGGCTTCGAGTCAACAATCGCTTCGAAATTAAGTAATCCGCATTTTGGGTCATACAGTGCAGCCCGCCTAATGGGGCAACTATTAGTGGGACCGACCGCTTCGTCGGACCAAGAGCCCGCTTAGTCGGACCAGTCCTGATCCAGACCGTGTTTTCTATCTCTAGATCATTCCTCACGAAATAGAGACTCCATGCGTTCGAGGTATGCCATCGGTAACTCGCGTGATAGTCATCAGCAATCAGCAATAGTGTTCTGAAGAAAAGCATATTGGGTCTAATGTTGGAATACCATATATCAGTAGTCTACGATCTCTTCTTGTTCCTCATCCACATTCGGATGAGCAAGATTCCTGCAGTCGTAGAATTCGCCGATGCTGATGTTTTGAGTCGCATCAAGCATCAGAATGCAGTTAAGGACGAGGTGCCTGAGCAGATCCTGGCGAAGATCAGTAGTGTCGACAAATCTGATATGACCTTCGAATCTGGAGTCTCGATGCTCTTCCATGGAGAGTTCTGGCACAAAGAATCGCGGTAGCATGTCTTTGACTGGTTGGATTGCGAATCGAAGGTCGGCTCTTGGATGGAGTCGTCGCTGCCTTCGGAGGTATCGTACGACACGTTCAGAGGATGAAGGAACAATCATGCCCCGATCAAAGGCAGACTTTATGTCGAAATATATGCATTGTAGCTGACCACCAGAATTTCGGATTTCTGCCCAATCCTGTAGCATGAGGGTCAGCTGGGTAGCAGTAGAACGGCACTTGACGAGGCCGTGTTGGGCGTCATCGGTGAGGAGATTTTTGTTCAGGAACCGTTTTATGTCACCAGCCAATAGTTTCTCCATTATACAACAACATATCGAAGTTTGAGAAATTGGTCTGTAATTCTCAACAACGGTCATAGACCTTTTTTTATGGATAGGAGTCACAATTGCACGTTTGAAGGCCCTAGGAACAGTCGATCCATCGAACGACTTCTTGTAGATGATCAAAAGGGTTCGCTCAAGAATATAGCGAAGCTCTTGAGGAATGTACCATCAGGACTACTTCTCGTCTTTGATTTGAGATTGATACTAGTAGATCGTGTATTCCCTCTCCGGTGAATTCTGGTGGGCGGTCGGGGTAGGGCACGTGAGAGAAGCGATTGAGTTTGGGGCGGCGGGTGCTTCCAGATGAATCGAAGGCGATTGCGGACTGGTCAGCGAAGAGCCTGGCTTTGTCTCGTGGATCGTCAACTATCGTACCATCAACAGTCAGATGACCAAGGTGTCCAGACATCTTTATGCGACTATTGGCATACCTATAGAACAACCGAGAATCTTTAAAATTGATGATTGATTCACTGATGACTCTTTCCCTACGTAAGGCTTTCGCTAATTTGGCATGTGAACGGTCACAGTTTCCGTTTTCGGTCAATCTCTTTTTGAGATGATCTACATATATAGGCCCGGATCGAATTTTACTCGCTTGGGACAGAGTGCACGGGGACGAATTTATCTATGAGGAACAAGCAGCAATCGACGAATTTATCATACATCGAATGAATGCCGTCGCACGACCTAGAGAAGGATGACCAGTCCCCTTCAGATGTGAGGCGATAGTAACTTCATCCATGCGCCTAAAGTCCCTCACCCATGATTCGATCTCAAACGGCCGAGGAACGCAGATCTTGACCAGGAAACTGATGGCAAAATGATCAGACTTTACTGCTGGTGGACTGATGTTCAAAACACTGATAACATCGGGGTCAGTACAGAGAAGAAGAACTCGGACTGAGAATGAGCTGAGTCAAGCTATTGCTGGTTATGCAGCTGAGGAAACGGTTTTCCATTGAAAGATCATCAGGAAGCATCGGGGCGGGCCAGGGAATTTTGGGCAAATTGAAATCACCCACTACAACGACAGGCCAATCAGTGATACATAAATCGTCGATTACGCTGCAGACTGCTCTTACTCGGTTCATCCCATGCTGGGTGTAACCGGAATTCGTTACATAAGAGCCGATGAATCGAATCTTGCCATGGGTGGACGTAACTTCAATAGCAATTACCTGTATTAGCTCCTGAATCCCACCTGATCTTCAAGTAGCAGGATTTGAAAAAAAATTTTGGCGCGTTCCTGGAGATACCCCATTTCTCTTCCATTTCCCCGAGCAGCACTCGACTGGCCGTCCTTCTTGCTCCAAGACAGCCCCCCAGCCGGAGCCCGACGCACCCGCCGTCATCCGGATTGGCAGCTTCGGATCGAACGGCCGAATCACAGGCTCGCTCGACAGCCACATTTTTAATTTATCAAATGCCTCTTGCTCTGAGGTTCCCCACAAGAATAGAACTTCTCCATATAACCGGTTCGACGGCGCCGCTACCAGGGCGTAGTTCCGAATCCTCCTTGCATGAAACCCAGTAAAGCCGAGGGACGTACGGAGTTTTTTCTGATCCAGGGGTGCGTCCCCCGAATTCATTTCTTCCGCATAATTCTTGCGCGGTTTGACAAATCAGCGGTGGGATCAGTAACGACTCGAGTCATGTTTTCCAAGACAAAGGCGTCTTGCTGGTCGAGTTGTCGACACTGAACTCTTCGACTGCGAGCAGCATGGGATCATCTCGATCCAGAGCGCCCAATGCCGAGGCAGGTGGACCGCCTAGGGCGCCAGGCTCAGCGAGAGGTTTATAGCTGGGATAAGACTCAATCCCCCCTACCCTTCTATATATATAAAAGGCTGATCTTTGTCCGTTCAGGAGCTCGATTTCCTTATGGAAACGTGTCTGTTCGCACTTTTTCCACCGTATGCGAAGTCGCTGAATTTATCAAATGACTCAGCTCACACCGCTAAGGCCTCTTTGGGGCTCGATTTTCCAGGAAGCTCCCCGCTTACAGTTTTTCGTTATTCCTCACAGACTAATTACTTACGAAGGAACACTAAAGACTGCATGAATCTCCGAATGGGTACCCACGTAATCGGCGGAGTACGCCCTCACGGGATGAGCACGAACGAGGACGAAACCTTCAGTACCGGAGTACTATCGCGGCGAAGGATACATGTTCGCATACCTCCCACCCCACTAGGTACCTTTTTCAGCTAGGGATTTTCTCTCACGGGCTTGATACCCGCCCCCACACGAGAAATGGATGCTGGTATCATCATCCGGTTGCGGCAAGGGTGGAGGCAGAAGCGAAAATCAACTCCGCCGACTCGCATGGCTAATGCCGACCTGATTCGGAACATTTCTTGGGATATTTACGCGGATAGGTTCTGAGAAACCCCAGATTACTTCAAATGAGGAGAGGGATTATTTCTCTGTTGAGAACTACTCCTCGAGGCAGACCGCTCCTCTTCCATGTGCCCGGCATGTGTCGAGTGTGTCTCAAACAATATGATGCGGTGTACATTCCACGTTCGACTTGTTCACGGCCTCGTGCTCAAAGGCAATCAGAATTCGCCATCATTCTCATACGCACTCGCCGGCAGGAGGTTAAGGAAGATCGGGCCCGTCCAAGAAGGTGAGCGATTCCAGTAGACCTTTAAAGCAGGGGTGTCTACCAAAAACCGGCGCGCCGCACGGGCCTTTCGGCAATGAGTCGCGGGCCGCAGCCCAGAATCACCTAATTACAAATGTTCAATTTAATCTCGCAATCATGCCACTCGAGGAGAGATGAGTTACTTTAGGTACATACACTGATTCCTACGCTCTCGTTCGCGCGTCAAGCGCCTTACGCTCCGCTCCCATGCTAATACAAAGTGCCATTGGCCTCACGTCAGGCGAAATCGGCGTGATCAACTCCAGAAAGCGTCCACGAGCGAATTCGAGATAAAACGGGAAAATACGGCGGAGTTTCATCTACCGGGATTTCCTCTACTGATCTGAATGATGAATGTTTGTGGATAGGGCGGATATTTTTTGTACATGGGATTATTTTTCGGACTGATTCCCAGTTTTCTGCTCAAGTGCGCTCAGTGCATAATTTGCCATCTGCACCGCCTCTTCCAGCACGGCTTGTCTTTCTTCCCTGAGGTTTATCCTTCTCTGTTCGTCGGGGTTCACACGGCGGATGACCGGCGGATTTCAACGGTTTCGACGCAGACATCATTCCTTCCCGGAAGGTGTCTGACATTTTTCCTGCTTCTGACTCTTCCAATTCTCGAATAGATGAAGTGATGAGATTTTCTTACTGCCAACCACGTAAAGAAAATCCAGTGAGAAGAAACGCTAAAGAAAGTCTATTTAATTGAGTTCTGCACTGACACAATATTTTTTCCAGGTTTCCGTGCTCAGTGATCTTCGCATGGCCGTACCTCGGGATGAATGTGAGCCCAAGCGGATGATCCGCGGGACTATTTTGCGCTCGAATCGCAGAGTCATTTTCGAACCCGAAAGATACGTCATAAGACGGCTCCTACTTGCAGGAAACCAATCCCGAGGTCTTACAGAACGGCTGCGGGACTGCAGCATGGAACTTCGACCCTTGGCTGCCTTTTTTCACCGAAGCGTGTAATGACCACGACATGTGCTACTCGCTTCCGGTGCAAAAACTATCGTGCGATCTACGCTTCTTGTAAGTAATCATTAGGGAGAGACAGTATCCTGACATTTGTTCTGTTGGTCCTATACCGCCGGCTCCAGTTTTTCCTCAATCTCTAATTCCGTACTGGTTGTCTTACCTAATTGATGCCTGGCCCCCGAATCGGCAACTACACCTACTACGATTTGTTGGTGTTCGTGCTTGAAGTAACGTTGATTCGACAAGACGTCGATTCGAGAAATCAATTCCTGCAAATACGAAAAGCTGATCACCGATGGAGTCAGTCCGGGAGTCCGATAAGAAACCATACCCCTTAGAAATCGACGATCGATACTCTGAATATTTTCAGACGCAACATGCTCCTCGCTTGCGACAGGCCGGACTCGCCAACAGGTCGTAAAATCATTACATCGAATGCCTTCGATGCCGTCGCCACAACCCCAATGGGCTGTACGGCCTATCACTCGGCTCAACGGAGCAATCTGTTCTGCGTCGCGGAACCTGGAAATAAGGCCAACGTACGGACCGTGTACGATTTTCACAAGCATGTTGAGGGCTGTGGTCCGCTGGTCGGAGCCGAATCAGCTTAGTTCATCATGATGATGATGATCGCGATAATTATGTGTATGTATCATGTATATTTATTGGATCAAATATTTATTAGTTTTATGTATATATTGTATTTATTAGTTTTATGTATATTTATTGTATATATTGAAGCGGCGCTGCTGTCGCCGGGTCATCCTATAAATAGGGCTGCTCGAGTTCAGAATTAATCCTATCCATTATCACCGGTCTTCGTTGTTCCGCTCCAAATTGGTGGCAGCGGCATGGAAGGCGACAGAGATGCTAGTAACTCGACAGTGCCCACCGTCGTCCCGACTGTAGGTATCGTCCAACAGAGAACGAAAGGACTGAAGGACGGTGTTTTTTACAAAATAAAGGGGTTTGTTTTGAACAAAAGAACGGCTTCTGTTTTTGAACGGAAGAACGGCTTCTGTTTTTGAACGGAAGAACGTATGTGTTGAGCTTAAAGTGTCTGAGAGCAATACGGGGCTGCCTATGATCTTTGCCCGGCATGCGATCGAGATCGGGCGGTCCCATCAGCTACTTATTTCCGGGCACCAGCTTGTTCAGGACCTGTTATACGGAGGTTCGGTGTGATCCTCCTGAGCGAGAGTTCCCGACACGAGTACCCGGGATTTCTGAGTGTTTCTGAGAGTTTCGGAACCAGAGTCGGGAAAACCCAGATGCCTCGGATAAGCAACCTATCGGGCGGTACCATGAAGAAGTCTTCGCGGGATTATACAGGATGGTCAGGTCAGCCGAATACCCGAAGGGTTTCGCCGCCTTCGAACTCTCGAATAGAGAGAGCCGAAAGTGACTGCAATCTCGAAAGAGGAGAGGCCCCGAAGGATCATAAAGGTTCGCGCCTTCTTTCCCCTGACTCCCTCATTGAGTAGGCCGGCTGTGATTGTCAATTGTCATCCCAATCGATCCGCCGGAACATGGAAGAGGTTTCCAGAGCATTCTTGAGGATCGCATTCGTCTTTTTTAGGTTTTTCAATTGATAGGACTGGCTGTGACCTCAAAGGCGAGATCTCAGGCAGCAGCAGAATCGAGGCGGATTCCCAGGGATCGTGTCTTCCCGTGGAATATGCATTTCCAAGAAGCTCTTTGAGAATCTTTATCTGTCCCGCATATCAGCTCAGCACGCGTGTATTCTGATCAATTGTCGCGTGTTAAGCGTTTTTTCCCCTCATGCTCCGCATTCTTCCCCACATGGAAATCCGAGCCCAAGCGATAAGGAAGACTCGTTCAATTGGTGTTCTCTGAATCCTGAGTAAGCTGAAGAGCAGATTCGGTAAGTGGTGCTTGGTGACTGGAGAAGCCTTGTCGGACTGTTAACTGTGAGCTGTGACCCAGTTTGACCCAGGATCTGCACTTCCCCTTTGAGAGCTGAGACCGTGACTGGCACCAGCAACTTCGAGCTCCTCATTCCTCACGCCTGACGCCTGACCCGTGGATTGCTCGCTTTTGTCGTGAGACCAGAGTACGCGTTGCTCTTTACTCCATCCGTATTAGGAATCTTATGAATCATCGTCATTGATTTTACGAGCTTGATAGCAAGTGCAACGCCGCAGGCAGCATAGCGTACAAGGGTCACGCTTGAAACTCGGAACCCGACTCATACGAATTCAGTTCAGTCGAGCTCTGCACGATATTCTAGATTCTCATATCGGAGTGATGTCTCTGACTAGAGTCTCCTATTTATCCTTCGAAGCTCTGCAACCCGAGATGGAACCTCCATTCTGCTCCGACATAGAAATTGACCGTTGCTCAGATATATCTGCCGATTCTGCTCCTGAAATACAGGAAGCGTTGTTCTGTCCAGGACGGATTCGTAGTGGTAAGATTGGGCCCCCAACAACCTGTTATCATGTCTCACCGCGTCACCACCCACCAGCCTTCCCAGTCGACAGCGATGGACTCTAAGCGAATCAACCAGCTTCGGGTTCGCTCGTTCCGGGTGCGCTCGCTGCGGCTACGCTCACCAAATGCGCGCTCGCCATGGGTTGTTTTTCCCTCCCTGTCATCCATTCCCTCCCTCGTTCTGCTCCTCTATTTCTCTCCTTGCCTCCCCCACTCTCTTGTCCTCCTGTTTTTCCCGGATGGCACAGCAATCCTTTCTTCCATCGATGCAATAAGCCTTTTCAGGACACACACAACAAGGGACAATGAGACCCAGAATTCTCGAGGCGTCCAGCCCTTCAGGAAACCCCAAGTCGGGTCCGTGTCCGGGAGCCGAGAGGTCCTGCATATACATAGAGCCGACGATTTTTCCGGAGCTCGACTTTGATGGAACGACTGATACTGCTCTTGAAGTTCCTCGGTCGTCGCCCTGTGCAGAAGGCCCCCATCAGCGCCGAAATCAGGGTTAGTTTCGTTTAAACGATCAACAACTTGGAACCTGAGACCGTCACATTAGCGATTGGTCATGGATGGTAAAATATCAGTGCATGAAAATTTTTTGAATTAGTGATAGAAGACTCCAGAGGTTCCCTCATAAACCTTTTAGAACTCGACGGAGACCATTCTCAGACTGACGATTTCGCCAAAAAGGTCGAAAGTGAGTGATCCTCTACTCTTTCGAGAGGAAAGGTTTTCGAACCCGCATATATGTTCCGTAAAGTTCCGATTTCTGGTTTCTGATTGCTTTGCTCTCCCGAAAAATTGCTCCGTCTGTCCGTTTAGGGCATAGAATCCGAAGCCAGTTCGAGGAGCCTTCTCAGGGCAGGGCCAAATGTAAGACTTGCACGAACAAGCTCATCACTTGCGCCAATGGCAGTATCACTGCCATGAAGAACCACCTGGGATCTGCGGGGCATAGAAAGGCCTGCAAGGATCCTCCTGAAGAGGGTGGTGCAGCCATGAGGCACGCAAAAAGTAAAAGAGTAGAATGTAACTGCTATACTGTGAAGCGCAGTGCAGCTCTGAAAAATTGGATCGTAGCGACGCTCGCCCATGTCTGCCACATTGCTCTGACGACCCTCGCGCATCCAGTTTTCCGCATTCTCTTCTGGTTGGCCAATCTAGGGTCCATAGACACCAAACTTGCCCGTAAGATCTCTGACGACGAGCACGAGAGGATAACGGCTTCTGCTCGTGTCTGATTTCGAGCGTCTCAAGATGAAAAGGAGCAGTCTTCACGTTAGTTGCCGACGAGTGGTCGTGGTGTACGAAGCGCTTCGTAGGAATCGTTCTGCAATGTTCCGATGTCATTCCAAGTCTTGGCTCCCATTCGGTGGAAATATTCGTCCGCTTCAGGGAAGCGGGGACGGCCGAGAGGCTTCTTGAGGCCATAAAGAAAGCACTCCAAGCATTCGGGCTCACTCTACAAAAGACCTCCGCGGAATGACATCGGACGCTGCGTCCGTGATGCTTAAAGTAGTTTGACTGATTGAGCGCGAATGCGCGCCAAAAACCTTCTACCATCAGCAATGCTTTGCTCATGGCCTTCATATAGCCGTCCTCAATACCTTCAAAGGCAGGATTCAGCGCGACATTGACCCGCCGAGTACAGGAATCTTGGGCCAGGGGAGCGGCAGGGAAGAAGACGGTAACACAATCGGTGTCGATCTCGAGTTCGGTAACGATAGCGCACCTGAGCGAACATTGGAGGAAAAGAACGACGAACTAGATCTGGATCGAGCTGTGGTACAAAAAATCAGGAAGATCACGAAAGACTTCAGAGCCAGCCACAAAAAATAGCGACCAGCTGGAGCGAATCTGTCGCTGCCTGAATCCTGATTCGAAAATTTTCAAACTCTTGCCCGACGTGCATATCAGGTTGGTAATTTAGTGGTTCCTCATTTCATTCGTCCTTCGCAGTGTGCGATGTGTGCAGTCGCGGATTCGGGTACACTGCCAGGATTGATTCCTGGGTCCTTCTTCAACATGGGAAGAATGAGCAGTCTCTGTCATTTGCGGTGACACCTCCCTCGTTTTGTCCTTTCCACAAATCCGTGCTCTGACTAATCCACAGGTGGAATAGCACGTTCGCGATGGTCGAGCGTTTCCCGACGCTCCAAAAAGCACTCGAAATATTTTACGAGGAACAAGGCGACGCATTCCCCCTGACAGCGAGAGAGATCGCGGCAGCGGAAAGCATGGTACAAGCTCTGCAATGTGTGGATGAAGCGAGCTGATGCCTTTGTAAGGAGCACACAACTCTCTTTGAAGCGGACGTAATTATCGAGGTGATTGCTCCTCCCCAACAGAGTCTTATGCCTTATTCTGATGCGCGCGAAGTCCTGTTTCAAGGACGGTGAGGAATATCGCAGGTAGACCCGCTGTCACTATACCAACGGGTTGTCGAGTGGTTCGCGCGTTTCTCATTTCTCGAGCAAACGTGCACAGCCGCAACGACGCCGACGCGGCTCGTGCGGGAGGTTGCGTGGGTTCGATTCCTGAGGCCGATAAAATATGCCGTTACTGGCGCGTCAGTAGGAAATGATCCCTCTAAGAACATTTGCTCTATGGATCTGTCCTCGGAAGCAATGTGAATCACAGTACCCGGGACCTCAAACCTTGGCTGTGTGGTCCAGCTTGAAAACGTTCAGACCCTCTCTTACTAAGAGTTTAGGATTCATGAAAACTACCTTCTAACCTGTTCCCGGTTCCTTGGACAGTACATGTTCGTGAGACTGGAGAATCTCCTCTCCGCGAACCCAACGGTTTCCATGGCGAGACTCTGCGAGATGTTGGAAAACAACGTTTTCAAACGGAGGACCGTTGTATCTCGCTGTGCAGTGTTCCTGCACACTTCGCAGCAAAAGTCAGACCTGGACGAACGCTTGGAGCCTGGCCGAGCCGAGAGTGGAATCGCTGAAGAAATCGCTAAGTTCTTGGAGGAAAGTGAATCCCCAGAAGAAGTGTGTGAAGCGTCGGCAAGCATATCTGCCCCAGTGACGTCTTACGAAGCGTTCTTGGAAAACTTCAGACGGACGGCACGCTCCGAGGCAAGTCGAGCTCAATCAGACACTCGCCTTTGGAGCGAGCTCGTCTACTCGTTGGTAGCGAAGGAGGC